TAAAGGGAGCTAGATCCCACATGGCCAACTATAGTTCAAATCTGAGCCCCAGCTCCTTGAAAAAAATGCCTGGGGGGTGTGCATGAGTGCATGTATGTGTGTGTGTCCAAAATTCTGACTGGATAGAGAAAAGGAAGAGAAGAGATTGCTATGTGACCATGCCCCATTGGGGAGTTCTCTCACTCTTTCTCTGTTTCTCTGTGTGCGTGGCAAGTGCATAAGCCCTTTGGAAATTAAAAATAAATAAATAAATAAAAAGCAAAAAGAAAGTACAATGTTTTCATCAAGAGAGAAAATAAAAATAAAATAGTAGATGGATGCTCTCTTTGTAGAGTAGGCCTAGAGTTATCTTAGGGAAAAAAAGAAACTAGTGTCCCCTGGTCCTAAACCATACTTTCTGTCCTGAGTGTGGTGAAGAATATCCCTCCTCCCTCAAAGCTTGAAGAGTTGGCTCTTGCTCTGTGGACATTAGTTCTAGGTTTTAGGCTCTGATGTCCCCTGGCAACTTCTGTCACTACCTGTTCCCATCTTTGCTTTCAGAAAGCACTTCCATCTACTATCCTCTTAATCCGGGGTCTCCCCCAACCCAGGACATGTGGATAGAATTTAAGGGGTATTTAAACTTGGATGAGGAAAACAAATAGCATCTTTACTTTTGATAATCTTAACTGCAACTTACCATTTCTTTCCAGTATAAATATAGGCAATAGAACGGAGGTAGAACGAGACCTGTAACAGTCAAACATTGAAACTGTAGGCTTTTCTTTTCTTTTCTTTTTCTTTCTTTTTTAATTTGCCAGAGGCACATGCACTCCCCGGAGAGAGACAGAGAGACAGAAAGTGAGAGAGCACCCCCTCCCCATGGGAGATGGCCGCACTGCAAACCCTTCTCCTCTGATTTTCTCTCCTTTTGGGATTTAGGGAATGCAAACACATGTGTCCAGTGCATTTCTCAAGTTACTGATCTGGGATTCAAACTGAACAGTCTTCCATGTAGGATCCAGCTGTCTTAACGACCTCGCCACTGGCTGGCCCCACAGGCATTTTCATATGGTATTACTGTGGTTAGAAATATCTCAAAATATTATTGTTGCATATCTTGACATTGAACTTTTGTGGGGTTTTTTTTTTTTTTTTTGAGAGGTTTTCGCTATAGGGCGTGTG